AATTTTGCTGGAGCACGCTTACAGGTAAACTGCATAAATCAATAAATTATTGATTCATGCTCTGTTTATTTATCTTACGCTCTGCAGAAAATACAATTATCACTTAATTATAAAACTGCTGTTTGGAAATAACACAACCGACTGGCTAATGTGCTCTGCTCTCTGCATGGCAAGAGCACCGAGAGATAATATCAGCATTAAAAATGTTAAGCCTCAGTAGCTCACTAAACATTCAGATATTAAGGTGTATGTTCAGGAAGGTGGAAAATGGGACACAGAACTTTCCACTTCTAGGTGGCTATTCAGATGTCTTTGCTGCACATCATTGCGGTGCTGTTGCCTAGCCTGTGAAAAACAAAGTGGTGGTTCCAGTTCAGTTCCCAGCGGACGGCTGTCCACATTAGCTCAATGATGAGTTTAAATAGATGGGCCAACAGCCAGGTAGGCCTGAGATGCAGGAACACCCTCCGATTCTCTGTAACTAATTCTGTCCCTGTCATGGTTGAGGGAAAAAGGCAGCCTTGCAAGTGGAAGTAAAGTCAGTCAAATGCTTTTTTTAATGTAAAATTGCTTTTTCAACAATATACCTTTTCAACAAAGTTGCACCAAAAACCCCTTATTTCTGTGTGTGTTTGTGTGTGTGTGTGTGTGTATAATACAGTTGGATGTAGGATGGCCTGAAAACAATGTTTTTTTAAATATATATACCACATTTCTGTAATATACACACAGACATATATTACAGAAATGGCTTAATTTTATTGATAGAGATATATCTATATATCTATATAGATATAACAGAAATGAGGTGTACATATATTTGTCAAAAATATCCCTATACTTTTAGGCCATCATATGTCCAACAATTCATCATTTTTGTGTTTTTCAACAAAAATCTGTTAAAAGTGAAAGAAAAGATTGGATAAAAATGTTTTTTCTTAATTTTTTTTAAGGTGGGGAATGGCTTGAAAACTCACCATTCCTGTGTTGACTCAAAGGAGAAACTCCCATACCATAGTGTCTGGGGACTGGGCAGAGTATAGCAGTGCAAGTTCTTGTTACAGCTCTTGGGGTGTGTTCTTTTAGGCCAGATCCTAGAAACTAGTTGTTCTGAACTCATCATGGTGCTGAGGCCAGAAAGGTGACTTTATGCAACTCTTCTGCCTCCTCGGCATATATTTACATGTGTAAAAAGGTAAATTATTAAAGGGTGTTAATCATGGATTGTTTGTGTCATTATCATGTATGCTAAATAGGGGGAGGTCCCTCAGTAGATGGGAAGATGCTTTGGGTATGGACAGGTGGAGAAATAGTCGTCAATATGAAAATGCATGAAAAGCATTACATATCTTTCATTGTAGCTTACTGTTCTGTTCCCTTTCCCAGTTCTGCCAACTGGAATCAAGTTCCAACTGAGCAAAGGAGAGCTCTCTGTGAAGAGAAGGACGATGGGGAGTTTTGGTATTTTCCCATTAATGGTTTTGTCTTCTGGAGTTTCTATTCTTGTTTCTTTTAGAACCATGGTGGGACATGAAAGGAGCATATTCACTTCCTCTGCTTTCAGTCTCCCTATGCTAGACATTTTACTAATTCATCTTTGGATTAGTCCTTGGGGTAAGCACTGTATTTAATGAACAAAGTATGAGAGGAGAACTGGTGAATATTGGCATAAAAGCCATATTCAGATGAGCATGGCCTCATGGCATGTGGTGCCATAGATACGTCTGTGGCACCACATATTGCACGTTCAGTTGCTCCCCACACTGCAAGGGAGCAGCATGTGTGTGTGTGTGTGGGGGGGCTGCCGGCCAGGCTCCATGCAGCAGGCTCACCATTGCTGCAGCCCTGGGAGGGCCCCAGGACGTCAGGTAAGACTGTTCAGGCCAGCCCAGTGCTGGTCCCAGCTTCCCCTACCCCACCCAGGGTAAGTTGCCATGCACCAGAGGCTGTGTGGCACAGGCATTCCCCAAGGACAAGTATCAGTAGCACAAGTGTGCCGCTGCTAGTTGTCCCCAGAGATCTAAACATCTGCACAAATGTGGATGTGCCCAAAGTGTTCATCCAACATCATCAAGGATGTCAGTGGCAGATTCGGGAGTTGAAACTACTTCCCTGACCTCCTGTCCATTGTTTAACCATTGGACCATGTAGGCCCCCACAAGACGTTGACTTGTTAGACAATATATGTAAACTCTCAGTGAGAGTAATAGAGAATCTGGGTAGGCAGCAGCCCAGCCATCAGGGCTTGGGGTCTTCCTGGTTAGTCTAGGTGAGCTCCTAACTCTTATGTATATTGTCAGTTTGGGGAATAATTTTGGCCCAACTTATCCTTATGTATAAAACCTTTTAGCCACTAGGAAGTCTCCTTCATGCTGACTGGCATGGTCAGACTCACAGCATGGCCAGGAAGTAGGATGACCATGGGCTGGTGCTAGGGGGAGTTTTCAGACTTGCAGTCTGGCATGCAATAGAGATGTGGACTAGATGGGTACTGAGAAGTGCAATGTGGAAAGGCCTGTGCTGGAGAACTAGAGACTGCAGTGTGGATATGACCTGAAATGTAGTGTGTTGACAGGACCTCATGGAGCCTATAAAAATGTCTCACATTCTCCTTTCTGCAGACGAACTGCTTTACAACTCCTACTTTTTTTTTCCTCATCAATGCAAACCTGATTTTTATAACTAGATCCATACTCATAGCCCTTCTTAACTTTAAACATATGTTTACATCATGTGAGTTCAATTGGAGCATCTCGGCTTTAGATACTAGAACATAGTGATCAACCCATTTCACAAGGTGTCACCAAGCTCAACTGGAGCCTGTGGCATGACATTTCAGCCCTGGTTACATATTCACTTACGAGCACAGCGAGTGTGAACATTGATAACCAGCTGATGTATGATACTGGAATGTAAAACTTTTTTTCAGGATGTCATGTCAAGATTTTAGAAACCAATTTTCCAAGGTGTGTGTTTGCAATAGTACACCAACATTTCTGGACTTTGGGGATCAGCACAATACAGCATGGTTCGTGGATACATATGCAAATAAGTGGGTTCGAGGACACACCGCAGGTGGAAGCAAGCCTCAGAATGGTAATAAACAGGGATCCTGGTTTTCTCTCTTTAAAAATAGCAAATTCTCTAATTAAAAACCCCAAAACTCCTGTTTTTCTGTGATTGAAATGAAACTCCACTCTCTATATAGGTATCAGTTGAACACAATGTTTTACTGATATATTTACAATTTTAAAGCAATTTGGAAGCTTGCCAGTGCCTCAATCACTGTAATAAAATAAGTGCTAAATACCTATAAATTTTGGCATTAGATTTTGGGTTTTTTATCATGGAAAATCAAAGCTTCCTCTGCCCCCTTTGCTCATAAGGACGCAGGTCCAGTTGTGGCTGTCCCTCCCCACACCAGGTGCTTTGTGACTGAGCAGCCCTGATATGCTGATGCCCTGCCCATGCCATTGCCCCCTCACTCCCCACCCACAGCCCCTTGGCTTGGCTGGTGCCTCTCCACACCTACACTCCCTGCCCCCACCCCCTCCAGCCCTGCTGGAGAGGGCCCCCAGCTGCCAGGGCTATAGGGCCAGGGACCCAGGTCCTCAGCCCCCTGTCCCCACCCCATCAGCGCCTGAGCCCTGGCTGCCACCCACAAGAGGTGAGTGTTGCAGTGGAGCACAGCCTGACTCCTCCTCCCCAACATGCAGTACAGCTTGAACAGAAGCTGTTGTGTGTGGGGGGGGGTTCAGGCTGCTTGCTGCAGGCTCAGGCTCTTCACCCAGCTGTCTTCCCCTGGGAGCCTCCACAGTACAGCAGGTGGGACTCAGTGTGGCAGGACAGAGCAGGGCTGGGGAGAGAAGCTTGATGCCACCGCTGGGAGCTCCACACCGCCCTGGTAAGACACCCCCTGCTCACCTGGCAACAGCGGGGAGCACAACTCCATGCCACTGCCCCTGCTGCTGCCAGATGAGCAGTGGGTGCTTTGCCAGGATAGCACAGGGCTTATGGCAGTGACAGCGAGCCAAGCTTCCCCGCTCTGCTCTGCCCTGCTGGGCCAGGTCCTGCCCGCTAGGCTGCAGAGGCCCCGGGGTGGGCGGGGAGGTGGGACAGCAGGGTGGGGAGCCCTGAGCCCACAGCAGCCAACCTGCATCTACATGTGCATCCCATGCCCCCTCCCCAACCCAGAAATGCGCTCAATGGCAGGAAGCCAGCTCCCCCCACCTGGATGAGCTGCCTGCAGCTTTGTCTCATACCGCGACCAGGCCCTGTGGCCATGCATTTTAGCCTCAGGCCCCAAGCTCCATGCACCACCTGGGCTAGGCAGTGGCCCCAGCTCTACCCACCTCCCTCCC